ACACCATACCCTGGGCTTCAGAAAGTCACACATCCCAGTGATATCAGACTTAATTCTATGTGGTATGCAATGAAGCCTATTTTGAGAGGCCATTTTGAAGCAAGTACCTTCATTGGGATTTCTTTTTCCTTTGGCTTGGCCCAAAGTCTTCCAGTACCTTCCAATGCCTAAATTCTTCTGCAGTTGTGATTTGTGCACTAGAAGTAGCATCAATGCTTTCAGGCCAAAGACTAGTATTTTGTAAGCTGTTCCTTCAGCTTTAGAAAGAAGGATTTCTCAAGCTCTCATTCACTCAAAACTTCTCCTCTGCACACATGGAGAGTATGTGATGGGCCATAAGGTCATAGTCTCCTCTGCTTTCCTCCTCTTGGCTCCTGTTTTAAATCCTGTCCCCTCTTTCTCCTTCCTCTACCATGAAACTTATCAAAGTAGCAGCAAACCCTCCTTGCCTCTGATTCATCCAGCCCTCGTCCTTCCTCCACTGGCTGTAATTTGTTTTCCATTATCCTCCACTCTGTAGTGATGGTTCTCAACATGTGGTCCAGGATCAGTAACATCAGCGTAGGCGTCACTTAGGATCTTGATGGAAGTGCAAATTATCGAGCCCCACCTCAGACCTACCGAATCAGAAACCCTGGGGATGGGCCCAGTGATCTGTGTTTTTTAAAAGCCCTCCAAATGATCCTGACACACGTTTGAGAATCACCACTCCATGGAGACTGCTGCCATGGAGATTACTGAAATTTCTAAATATCCAGAATTGATTCTCATCTCTGATTGATCATCAGAAGCTGAAGCACAGCCCTCCTTGTGGAATCTCATTGCTGGTGCCTTTGACACTACCCTCTCTTCATTCTCCTTCTACTTCCTAATTGTTCTTTTTCATTCTCCTCAGGTGTCCCCCCCATTCCATCAATGCAGATTTTCAAAGGAATTGCCACAGGCCCTCTTCTCTTAACTCTTTACCTCTCGTCCAGGGAAATTCCATACACTCCCCTGGCTAAGGTCATGGTTTCTAGGCCGTTGACTCCCACACTGGATTCTCCAGCGTTACCACTCTCTTCAGCTGCTTTGCCATCAATTCCAAAGGACTTTAGGACACAAACACCTCAAAAATCTACTGCGACTTATAATACAGAATTAATTTTAAAAAGTCAACTTTCTCACCACACTTGTATCTCCTCTCGATTTCTAGTCTTCTTTTACCTCCACAATATTTTCCCTAGCCCTTAGGTGTAAGAACTTCATTCTCCTCAACTCTGAATTTCCAAATAGCTGCTAAGTGCCAAGCCCTTTTGCCTATATTTCACAATCTTTCTCACATGCTTTGCCTTTTTGCTCTGTAGATTATTTTTATCTATCCAGGGGGCAGAACTCCAATCAAAGAGTGAAAGTTAAAGAGACAGAGATTATAGCTTATTATAAGGAAGAATTTTATAACAGTCACAGCTGCCCACAGATGGGCTAGGGAGTTTACTGTCTCCAGAAAAGCAGAAGTTTAAGTGTCTGATGAGTGGTTGGACTTGATGGCATTTAATATCCCATAAAACTTTGAGATTCTATAGTTCCTTTTATCACTCTTTTCTTTTAAGCCCTCATTGTTCATCCCCCCTCACTCTTGTTTGAGCAAATGTTTTCATCCCAAGGCTGTGTCTGACGCTTGAGGCAGATCTGGTTTTTCTATGATTCTTTTCTTTGTGATTTCCTCTCTCCCTACTCCAATTCTCACACACTCATGTGGAGATTCATTTGTTCACTCACTCCATCTACTATGTGCTTGGTGCTGGAAATACAGAATTGAATGAGTCATCCTTGTCTTCAAATATCACCCAGGTAGGGAGCTAGACACATACATCATAGATTACAGCACAGGGAGATGAGGCCATAGGATCCCAATGGAAAAGCAGAAAAGAGATCATTTGACCTGGGCAAAGGCAAAAATATGGACTGAGTTTTGAGGACTGAGTAGACACCACCTTGGTGAACAATAAAGGAAAGGATCTTCCAGAAGGACCACTATATGCAAAAGCACATAAACCCACGTGAGCATAACGTGTATTTGGAAATGATGAGTAAGTAGTTCAATATGGATGGAGCAAAGAGTGGTAGGAGGGAAGAGATGGGTGAGAATAGTTTATAAAGGGCTGTAATTAAGCTAAGGCTGTTAACCTTATTGTGATCACTCTATGGTGGCCACCAAGTGACATAAATCAGATTTGCTACTTAGGAGATGAACAGAAGAGAGTTTGGAAGTGGTCAGAAAAGAGGCAGGAAGATAAACTGATGTTTAGGCAAGAGGTGATGGAAGCTCAGCTAAGTCAATGGCAGTGGGAAGGAAGAGTAATATATGGACTTTTAGAAATATTCATCTGCACCTGCAGAATTTGAGAGACTGATTAGATGAGGGAGCAAAACATCCAAAATGACCCTTAGGTTTTTTTTTAAATTACATTTTTAGAGATGGGGTCTCACCATGTTGCCCAGGCTAGGCTTGAACCCCTCGGCTCAAGTGGTCCTCCTGCCTCAGACTCCCAAGTATCTGGGACTACAGGTGTGTGCCACCACACCTGGACCCTTAGGTTTTAAATTAGGTGACTGTGTGGGAAGTAGAGCCAATGCCTGTATAGAGAATATAAATGGAGAAACTGACTACTTGGCAGATAAAATCAGAACAGAGTTAGTGGACTAGTTGCTAGAGGACAGAAGAAAGGAGAGACTTAGAGATGGATAAAAAATTCAGAAGCACAAAGGAAAGAATAGAAGAATACCCTTATATCTTTGCATAGGGATCTCCTTCTAAATATTACATGTAATAATTACTAATAGATACTATTCGTGCACATCAACTACATACTAGGCACTAAACCTCACATAAACCATACAGGGTAGAAATTAATATCGCTTTATAAACATGAAAAACTCAGGCTCAGAGAAGTGAAGGAACTTGCCCAAAGTCATCCAGTGCCATTATAGGTTTTATGATCCCAATGTGCTCTGTTTTACATATACTGATTTAGATGACTTGGCAAATCCAGACAAGAATAAGACCTCTTCCCACCCTACATTCTTTTTAGAATCTAGAATATATTTCACTGAACAGATTGAAACAATATCACATACAAACTTGATATTTCCACTTGGCCATCAAAGTTGGGAGAAACATCTCTTAACCTTGCTGTTTCCTTCAGGTTTTCTTTGATTTTTGGTTTTTGTTTTCCCCTCTCATAGTCAGTTAAATCCTTAATTTAATAGCAAGATAGAGCTTGGCCTATTATACAGACCAATGGTTTCCAAAACATGATCCCATGACCAGCAGCATTAGCTGAAGCTGGGAATTTGTTAGAAGTGAAAATTCTCTATCCCCACTGTAGATCTACTGAACAAGAAACTCTGGGGCTGAGGCCTAGAAATCTGTGCCTAAACAAGGCTGCTAGGTGATTCCGATGCTGGCTGGAGTTTGAGAACTATTAATACAGGCTAAACTGTTATACCAGGATTTTATAGTGACAAGGATTTTAATGTGACAAGGGAGCAATCTAAATCATGGTGAATCCAAATGCCATGTCAACTGTGTAATGAAAGAAGAACTGCCAATAAGCTTGCTCACAGGTAATTTTTGAGGAACGATATTTTCATTTCTTTGGAGGTCAGTTCTCACACTGTACTTCATTGAGTGCACATGCATTTGAGTAAATCCATCAAAATGTATCAACTACTCTTTTATTTATCACACGACATAGCATATAAAGAGAGGGAACCTGAGTTCTAAATTTCATAGAGTTGAACTAACTAGGATTTTCAGAGAAATTTACTAGTTTCCCAGTTTAACCATCAGCTCAGTTCAGGGTGAATGAAAACATAAGATCAATTAAGATTTTGGAATTAGATTCTCCAATGATCACAACAGAATCAAATTAAAGAACATCATCATTGATGCATTCCCCTTCTCCCTAGCTCCTCAAAAAACAACAAGGAAAAACAAGCTTTGGGAGGATACAAAGTATAGTAAATGCAATCTTCATCTGGTGGGATTTTTGGGTTTTTTTTTTTTTGGCAGAAAAGAGGGTAGGAAGGGCACCTGAGTGAGGCTATACATCTGCATATGTTATTAACAAAATATTACTAACATAGGAGGACCCCGCTCATGAAGTCAAGTAGCCAGCAGCTAAGGATGACTATCTGCACTTCAAGCTTTCAAATTACTTACAGTGGAGGGAGGAATTTTTGTAGAAAAAAATAACATTGGCCAGGCACGGTGGCTCACCCTGTAATCTCAGAACTTCAGGAGGCCGAGGCGGGCGGATCGCCTGAGGTCAGGAGTTTGAGATCAGCCTAGCCAACATGGTGAAACCCTGTCTCTACTAAAAATACAAAAATTAGCTGGGTGTGCTGGTAGGTTCCTGTGATCCCAGCTACTCAAGAGGCTGAGGTAGGAGAATTGCTTGAACCCAGGAGACAGAGGTTGCAGTTAGCTGAGATCTGCACTCCAGTTTGGGCGACAGAGAAAGACAAAAAAGAAAGGAAAGAAAGAAAGAGAGAGAGAGACAGAAGGAGAGAGAGAGAGGAAGGAAGGAAGGAAGAAAGGAAGGAAGGCAGGCAGGCAAAGAAAGGAAAGAAAGGAAGGAAGGAAGGAAGGAAGGAAGGAAGGAAGGAAGGAAGGAAGGAAATCTATGCCAAATTTGTTGGGATTTTTGATAAGTTATCTAATAGAATGGGCTAAAAAGAGGGGGTGAAGGATAAAAGACTGATCATTGGGTACAGTACACAGTGCTCAGGTGATCGGTGCACCAAAATTTCAGAAATCACCACTAAAGAAGTTATCCATGTAACCAAAATCCACCTGTTTCCCAAAAACTATTGAAAATTTTTTTAAAAAGAGAATGGGCTAAAAAGCAATAGCCCCAGCACACTTGCAGATGAATGGCATCCTCCCAAGTGGGGAGAAGTTACAGGGAAAACTCCGAGAGGGATGTTTTCATCTTTTTTTTTTTCCCCAGGCTAATCAGACACAGCTGATTTTAAAATGTGCATAGCAGCCAGCTTTCCCATGTGACACAGGCTCATTTTCCCCAGCTTATAGCTCCTTGTCATTGTTGAAGCACACGGGCCAACAGAAAGACAAACACCGTCAGGACACAGCGTGCTACTAACCTGCTCATGAACTTGTAACGGCGGGGCAGGTAATAGATTTTTCTCCTGGAAGAACAGCAAAAATGAAGCCAGTCGAGAAGAAAACCCATCGTCAGTTACAGTTTGAACTAGCAAGGAAGGAAAGGAGATTGAAGATAGAAGCCTGTAAGAGGTGAAGAAGAAAAAACTAAAAAGAGATTAACAGTGAGAAATACAGTGGGAACACAGGGCATGCGTTTTTGAGTCATGAAATCTTATGCAACAGTTTCCATTGGTATTTCTTCCTCTACCCATTACCATAATTTTTTTTTTTTTTTTAGTGGTTGCTCCTCGCCTGCAAAGCATGTGCAGTATGATAATTTGGAGTGATTGGTATTTGCACAGCTTCAGCTGAAGTCAGCTTTCTTCCCCAGGAAAATGCAAGGATGGATCAGAGGACAACATACATAATTTAACGGGCATGCTATTATATTAACTAATATTTATACAGCACTTTAAGCTTAAACATGACACTTCTCTCAAGGTATATACATATATATATATATATATATTTCACAACCAGTGTGGGAAGGACACTCACTTGTCAGCATTAACACCCAGCTGTACATAACCACACTGGGGCACACTGGCTGACCACTGGCCCTGGTTGTAGGTGAATTAAATAGGTAAAATCAAGGAATTCTGGAAACTTTAAAAAAATCAGACTTATTCTGTCAGATTGCTACATATCTACCTTTAAAGAATGTTAAAAATGAAAATTCTTGGTGTAGTTTGAATGGACAGTACATGAATTAGATTCTTTATTAAAATGCAACCTCCCTTTCCATATTTCAGGCTTCAACTGAAACTGAATGGAATAATAATGAAACAGGTGCTTTTTAAGTATATCCTGAACTGTTACTGAACTCTCTCACTTCTGTAAATGGTAAGTTTATGTACCACCAATTTTTTTTGCATATTCGTGAAAGCTTTAAAACATAGGCAAAACTATAGAGACAATAAAAAGATCAGTGGTTGCCAGTGGGAGAAGGAATGTAGGTGAAACACAGGAGACTTTTAGGGCAGTGCAGCTATTCTGTACAATCCTGCAATAGTGGATACATGATATGCCTTTGTCAAAACTCACAGAACCACGCGCACATAGAGTCAACCCTAGAGTAAACTATGGACTTTAATTAATAATAATTTTTCAATACTGGTCCACCAATTTTAACAAAAACATCACACTAATGCAAGATGTTAATAATAAAGAAACTGTAGGCTGGGGGAGAAGGGGACACTATACTATACTATATTGTATACTATATTGGAACACTAGTATCTTCTCAATTTTCTATAAACCTAAAAAATTCTCTAAAAAGTAAAGTCTATTAGTTAAAAAAAAATCCATGGACATATAGGTATTAGAAGCAAGTTTTCCTGTAATTTCTCATAAGAAACCTATTCCTATATTTCCTTTTAAACATCTTAGGGATAAAAATCCATGGAGACTAAACCTGGGATTCAGAAGTACCGTCTACACAAAATTATGAAGATTCTTTGGGCATTTAAATTCAGCCAAAATGATGTTTGTACATTTTGTTGAAATGATGTAGTGGGAGAATTCCTCCTTTGGAAATGCATGTATCTCCTTAGACTAGAGTTATTTGTCTGAAACTATGGACACAATAATAGCAAAAGTTTTAAATCCATCAGGTTGCAACAAGTAAAGCCAAGCTTAGTAGGTAAAACCACATTAATATTAATGAGGTCAGTAAGTGTCACACATTAACAATATTTTCTTCTAAAATTATCATGCAAGAATTCCTATATCCAAAAAGATTATTGTTCACATTCTTTTTCATTTCATTGTGTGGTTCACATTCTCTCAAGTGCTGCTTGGAGGCAGCACATTTCTGCTCTGCAGTAGGCATGCAGAAGTGTTATTCATGATGCGGCCAGGCCCTTCAGATATAAAATTCTTTGCAGGTAGTAAGAGAATTTGCTTTGCATTAACATTGCTCAAGTTTCTATAATCTCCCTGGGTTCTTTGTTACAGACATGTGTTCTGGCAGAAGGTTTCATGAGATTTATTTATACCGGAGAGGGGTGTGTAAATTTCTATCTAGACATATTTTGTAGGGTTTTCTTTCTTTCTCTTTTGGTTCTTAGGTACGACACGGTATTAATCTACATTAGATACTTATTATATCATTGATAAATATTTGGTTTTAATTGCTAGAGTATAAAAATTTTCAGTGGAATCTAAACTGACATTCCTTATCTCTCCCTAGTGGATATATACATACACACACATTATATATATATATGTATTCCTTTTTTTAACCCTTGAATTCTCAGATTTTCTTTTTAACAGTTAAATACAAAAATAAATCATAAGATCAGAACTAAATTTATTATGCATTTTGAGAATTTTGCTTCCAGGAAAACAGATGCTAGAAATCCCAGCCTCTATTTTGACTAGGTATTAGGACATACAGGCCAATAAACAAAGAAGACAAGATGCACCGGGGAGATGTATTACAAGCCTGTGAATGGAAATTGCCCTTCTCTAAATGTGTCCCTAACCCTTCTCTCTGTCTCTATAAATGTTCTTTGTCTCCACAACTTTCCACAGCTCATTAAGAGACAGACTGTAGAGCTGGTACCAATTTGCCTCATTTCTGCCACCTAATGTGGTCTTACTGGCAAATTGCAAACCAAAAGTACGTCATTCTTTGAGTCCCTTCAGAACTGCCCTTGGAACTACATCCATCCATCCACCTTTTTAGACCCACATATCTTGGCATTTCCAATTTCAGTTTTAATATGTTATTTCTATATAGCAAATGCAGATCACTTTTCCATAATCCATAGGGAAAATAAAAATATTCATTGTGAAATGAAGGTAAATTATAAATTAATCCTTTTAAATAACTAAGGAATATAAACAAAGTATTTTCTATTCCCCTTGGAACAAATATCAATATTTGTGTTTGCACAGTATTTATGACTTTAAAAAGTTTTTTTTTTTTTTTAAAGAAGATCACATTGTCACGAAATTTCTTGCACTTGTTTCTAAAGAAATACATTTTAATGTTTTTCTGGAAGGGACTGGTCAGTAAAGAACACAAAAATATGGCCCTATGCAACTGCTGCCTGTGGTCTGGCTGTTCAAAGCAGCAGTATACAGGACTTCTAAAAATGGCACTTTGGAAATATAAATGCCACATGGAAAATGCTTCTTTATTGCAGGCACTGGAAATATCTACCTGCTAAGAACTGAATTAGCCAGAGTTTTTCACAAAAAGCCATGAAATCATTATTGGCCATAAACGCTTATTTGCATATCCTAAACATTTGAAAGAGTCCCTCCTCTAATGGCCTTCCCATCTGCATTTCAGTTTTATTTGTTCTGAGAGAGGAGAACATTAGATTTACAGTGAAGCAGCAGAGAGAGTGGAATAAAATACATTTCCACCTACCTGAAAGGCATTCTTACATTCATTTGTTCTGCATATCTTCCAAGGACTTCCCATGGGGCATGCAACTTCACAAAGATAATGTCACTATTTATTAGAGAGGACTGAAACAGAAAAAAGAAACTAAATTGAAAAGTATATTCAAGGCTCCCACAGTTTAAGTTGAGTTGGAACTTAGAATGCATGGACCTGGACAGAGATTACGATTTGGGGCATTCCTCAGCAATAGGCCAGACCATTCCAAGTGCACGTATTCATTTAACAAACATCCCACTGTATGTGTGGCACTCATGCCAGCTGGAGACCCAGCTGCAAACAAGAGAGGTATGAATAACATTTACATTCTACAAAAATGTTAAAGAAGATAGGCAAAAACAAGTTGAAAAGGAAGGATACGCCAGGCGTGGTGGCTCACGCCTGTAATCCCAGCACTTTGGGAGGCCGAGGCAGATCACCTGAGGTCAGGAGTTTGAGACCAACCTGGACAACATGGTGAAACTCCGTCTCTACTAAAAATACAAAAATTAGCTAGGCATGGTGGCAGATGCCTGTAATCCCAGCTACTGGGGAGGCTGAGGCGGGAGAATCGCTTGAACCCAAAAGGCAGAGGTTGCAGTGAGCCAAGATCACGCCACTGCACTCCAACCTGGGCAACAAGAGCGAGACTCTGTTGAAGGAAAGAAAGAAAGAAAAGAGAGAGAGAGGGAGACAAGGAAGGAAGGAAGGAAGGAAGGAAGGAAGGAAGGAAGGAAGGAAGACTCAGATAATAATGAGTGTTCTGAAGAAGGAAGGATAAGCTCAGATAATAATGAGTGTTCTGAAGATAGAGTAATGAGAGAAACAGTTATGGGAGGAGCTACATACTCATTTGGACAAGGGGTTGAGGAAAGTCTTCTCTGTGGAGGTGACATGTGAGCTGAGACCTAAGGAGGAGAAGGCACCAGCTGGGGAAAGAGCACAGCATGAGCGCTCTGGGTGCAAAGGCCCTGAGCTGGGAAGCTGCCTCGTATATTGAGGGAGAGAAAGGAGAGCAGAGGGGCTGAGGTGTTTTAAGGAGGGAAGAGTGGCATCAGAAGAGGCTGAGAAGGTGAGCAGAAGACAGAACGTGCAGCGGACTTTATTCTAGGAACACTGGGAAACCACTTTGATTTAGGTTGTCAAAGATCACTGTGGTTGTTTCATGGAGAATAAATGATAAGGGAGAAGAAGGAATGTTCTCAGTCATCCAGGCAAAAGCAAAAGTTGATGGTGGAGATGAAGCAAGCCAAAAGATGTGAGACTGCAATCTGGGTGGGTGCCTGGCAAAGCTTTTTCAAAGAGCTGTGTTCTTTGGTCAAAGACCTTTGCCTGCTTTGGGGCTTTTTATCAACCTAGAACGTAGGGAAGTAAAACTAGGACTTCACACCCCAATAACTATCCAACAGATTTTGGTCTATGCCTCTGGCCAAAAGGACATGAAAAACCAATTAGGAGATTTCTCTTTGGAAGTCACTTTCCACAAGGAGGGGTCAGTTGTAGAAGGAAAGTGAGAAAATAGGAGCCAAACTAGTTTAAATTAGTGAAGTGGCCAATTACTAATCCCCATCTGTCTCATATAGGGTTGATCTGGACTGCATGGCATTTAAGTTTTTATAGTTTAGGAATGTTGACAGATATGTTAGGACTTTGTGCTTTGTGGCTAGACTTTCCTTATACGAGTATTGCATAATAATCCTTTGTTGGTTCTTGTTGTTGTTGTTTTTGCACAACTGACAAAAATAGAAGCTCAACTTTTTCCTCTAGCTGGGGTAAATGTGCACTATGGGAAATTGTTTTGAAATTGCAGATGGATGTAAAGTTGTAATTCATTTATCATACTTTAATTCAGAGTCTTTTTGACCTGAATTATAAACATTCAAGGGTTATAAATATTATACGTGTATAAACTCATCAAGATATTATGAAAATCAAACTGGCATCAACTGCAATGTTCTCAGAGACTGGTGTGATGCTGAATTTCCCAAGGGTAGGAAGGCCAGGGCCCATCAGTAGTGGCAGGCACTCTCTAATATTGGTCTGAAAAGTCTAACTTTCTGGCAGTTCAGGCTGAAATGAGGTTTCACTCTTCGGGCTTGCGACAAGAGTGCCCAGAGTATAACCCTCCTGATAACAAGGAATATTTCTGTTATTCATAGTTGAATCCTTTGGGCCTAGCACAGTGCTTGGCACGGAGGTACCACATACCCAATGTTTGTCTAATCCATGAACATGATTAGTGAAATGTGGGCAGTTAGACCTGGCCCAGGTGAATACTGGATTCCTGTGAAGCAGGTAGTGACTGTCAATGAAGTGACTCTTACAGTGAACACTGCAGGTTACTGCAAATGAGGTGCCTGTCCAGGGAGTGGACAAACCAGTAACAACCGAAAATGTGATGGCCAAATACTTTGTCTCTTTGTAAAAACTGCTTTCCTCTGTTCAGTAA